CCCTCGCTCCTCCCGCCCGCCCCCCCCCAGGTTAATTGGTAACCCTTTGCAAACCCCGGTTCTCCGGGCTGGTGCGGAGAGGGGAACGTTCCAAGGTTCAGGGCTCCGAGCTCTTAGTCCAAGGAGCCGCTTGTGTGGCTCTTCCCCTCCCCCGCCCCCTTTCCCCGGGCGGAACGAGAATCCTACAGCGATTTGGAGATGGCTTCGTTTAAAAGGGAGAGCCCGTGAAAGCATGAACTCGGCCAGTCCCTGACACCCCCCAACCCGCGGCCGAGCTTGGGCTCCAAGGATCCCTTGTTTCCTGGAGGAGAACACACGTTTCTGGGGGTGTCGACGGGACCGATGACAATGCTGCCGAGTCGAGCGGAGAAGCAGGAAGGAGAGTCAACCTGTTAGCAAAAACAAAAAAAGACAAAAACCCCACACAACAAAAATCCAAGGGGAAAGTCCCACTGGAAGGGGGAAAAAAGAAATAGTTCCAAAGCGGCCACAAAGCATGGGCTGTGCTCCAAGCATCCACATCTCTGAAAACAGGGTGGTTTATCACAGTAGCAAAGAGTCCGAAGAGTCCAATTCCCCTCACCAAACCAATACAACCATGTCTCAGCAACAGCACGGCAACTCCGTCCCAGGATTATTCATTAAATCCTCCAACGCGTCCACTTATAAGGTGAGGACTAATTCCTCTAAGAAAGACAAGAGGGAGAACAGCCAGAGCATGGAGCCAGAGATCCAGAGCAGCAGATCCAGCCTGAAGGTAAAAGGGGGACTAAACATACAAGCAGTTTCTCTCCTAGCAGGACTTAGCCTCCTTGGCTCAAATCACTGGAGCCATCTGAGCAATAGATTGTGGGACAGCTTTTAATGGCTTGAGCAGTTAGTTTATACACTAATCGCTCTCGTGAAACTGATTTGTCCATGTTCCCAAAGCTGTTTCTTCATTCCATTGGAAGTTTTCAGGGTAGTGGAAAAGGAGAGCCGTTTAAATGTCCTTGTCAATCATTAGAGCAACCGAGAAGATATTTCTGCTGGTGAAGGCGCAGGGCCTATCTCTGGGGGGCACACAGCTTATGTGAGCCTGCACTGCAACTAACATGTATTTACCCTGAGTTTTTATTGACATATCAAATATTATTATTTGTGCTTGTCCTTTTAGACTCAAAATACTCTTGCCATATGAAACTATCTAGTAGATTGGATGGTCACTAAACCCTTTCTTTCCATCAGAAAGCTGAAACAAGAATGACAGCAATTTTTGGATAGGGTTCTGATTTACCTGTTGATTTTGCTTGCTTTTCTAGTCGAGATATTTTGTAGACTATTCGTGGGTGTATAGTTTTATCTAGCATAATACTAGGCCGGCACATACTGAAAAAATAAAGAATTTATAATTAAAAAAAAAAAGGAAAACGAGTTAGAACTGAAAAATTGCATTTACATTTACTTTCTGTCAGTGGCCTATTATAGCTTTTGTGGTTGAGTGGTTTCTCTGTCTTTTGGGGCATTCTGCATTTTGTAGAAATAAATAATTACAACTGAAAAAACAAGCTATGGATGCCCGGGAGCTATTATATAACATGGCTGATCCTAGGCTTACTGTGATATTGGTTAAGAGGTACACATATGGTAAATATAAGATATAGGTATGACATATAGGAAGAAATTGCACAAGGTCAAAACATTTTGCAACTTTCAATACCTGCAATCATTTGTACAGTTTTCTAAACCCTTTGCTTTCTATATTAAGAATGCCTCTATGTTATTGATTGTGAACTACAGCAAACTGTTCAGTGGTGTGAGTGGTGTGAGAATTACTTTTCCCCAAATAGAGCAATGTCATTTCATAGAGTTGAAAAAATGTGGGATGCAAGAGGAAGTTGCACAGGTAATAGGATGAATAGCTAAAGCAGTATATGATAGCAACTATACGCCAAATTCATATTTTTATACGTGTAATAAATAAGACACAGAAAACTGAGCTAAAAGGCTGCACAGACACCAAGGCATGCTGATGAAATCATGGTAACCACAATAAAAAAATGCAGGTTATTTATGTTGTCATCAGAACTCTGAGATTTGTTGGGGTAACTTTTTTATTTATTTTTTTCTGATTTTTAAATATATTTTTGAAGGAGTTTGCAGCATTTTAAACGAGAACATCATATAATATTCACATGAAAGATACCTTTGCCTTTTATGTATTTACTCTCTTAAATAATACCTGTTATCAGAGACATGCAGGGAAGAAGTAAACTGATTTATTTTTTGTGTGTTCAAGATGCTTGTGATTACATTGCTTATTAATGGGACTGGGACATCTGAGGTAAATCAGCTAGCCATGCAGTTGACCTTAGTTCACATTCATACTCTAATCTTGTTGGCAGTTGTCTAGTTTTTTTTCACAAAAGTCATATTTCATAGCTGTGATGGTATGTTCCCTCTGACAACACTGCTGCAAAATTATTGTTTTTGCTAACAGGAAGTGGGTTTTTTTGCAAGACCAATTCAATACTAAATGTGATTTCATGTCTCTCCTCCATAGCTTTCTTGTTTCAGATTCTATCATATCCTTTAGATACGTAAAAGAACATAGTACTTTGTTCTCTGCTGTTTATTATTAGCTGCTATATTATCACATTTACTACCCTTGCTATGTTAGTTTACAGCTATGTTGTCGCTGAAGTTGTATTGTGTATGAAACAGGATTGTACTATTGCTGTGTCACTTATTCTCAGTGATCCAGTAAAGTTCTTTTAAAAAGAAATGGAACACAGGAAAATTGAGACCAAAGGGCTTAGTCCTGCTTCCACTGAAGCCAAAGGGAGTTTGGGAGCAGAATTTGGTGCAAGGTCATACAATCATACAGCTTTGACGTTAGTAGTTTCTGTCCTGAAGAGGAACTGTGGGAAGGAGCAAACTATTAAAGATTTGCCAAGAGCAGAGGACCTTCTCTGAAGTGCTTGTACCCTTTCAGTGGCACTTAGTGCTGTACAGAAGATGGGCAGCAGCACTTCATAAGTTTGAGCCAATGATTATCATGTGATACTGTAGTTGGAACTCCTCTGATTTGTGTGTATATGGTAATATAATCCCTTTACTTGGACCAGTATGTTAGGTATAGTACGTAAGATATTCAAGTTCAAAAAGCGCCATACAAAAAACCCAACCAAATCAGAGCTTGTAAAATATGATTGTGTCTCTCCTGTTAGCTAGCACTGAGATTTATTCTGTATCTGTTCTGGAGTGTTGTCAGATATATCCATTATGGTTACATAGCAGGGAATCACTTTCTAAATGTAAAATGTCTTCCCACTATATTTCATGACTCCATCATCCATGAAATATGGCTAGAAAGATGAACTTTTCTTTCCTAATAGGGAAAAAATATCAAGCCTTGTCCCAAACAATTCTGCAAAATAGTTTGTGTAGTGTGTGTAGGCACACATGTACATAGCAATATCTATATCTGGCATATAGAATTTTAGTGATATCCACATGATAAACCATATAATAAACTTAAATATTTGGTCTCACCTGTCTCCATTAATCAATATTCCCAAGAGATGTTTTAACACTGCCAATCTCTGAGCATTTTCAAATAAGTGCCACATCTAAAAAATGAACCTGCTGCAAAAGTGTTTCCTTTCTTGCTTCCAAAATATAGAATTTTCAACCCAAAATTATACTGGTCTGTGGGTGGGGTCTGCAACAGCCCTGGAACAATGACAGATTTAACATCTGATTATCACATGTCCCATTCAAACTAGCAAATGGAGCTTTATACAGTACTATTGGAAAGCACAGATTCCCAGGGTTCTAATGGGACAGCATTTGCTGTTAGCTCCAAAATGTCCCCAGATTTTGGTTTTTAGGGCTGTCATACTTATAGGTACATTTTAATTATATCAACTGTATTTTTTTCTTTTTCCTCAGATGTTTGTATAATTGGACTCATGTTACTAAAATACCTAGCTTTACAGAAGAGAGGATTTTAAAAATCCATATGTTTTAAAAGAAAAACCTCTCTGAAAGATTGCTGATATGTTTTCTTATAAGCAGAGCAAATGTCGGTATGGTGTAAATATTTAATTAGCACTTGTGCAGAATGACTTGCTCACAGCATTGCCATTTGTAGGCAATGTGCAGTCCCAACATCATGCCAGTAAACCCTTGTACTTCACTATGCTCTTGTGCATTCACTCTGTATTTCATGCCACCGTTAATTTATGCATGTAGTATATTTTCTTTATTTTTCTTGTACAGCTCTTGACAGGGTGTATTTTAAAAAATATACACACACCATGGGGTGTGCTTGGGGAGCAGGCATTAAACAAAGGTTCTGACATGTTACGGAAGGAGCAGGTCACATTGTAAAAGTGCTGTTTGATTTAGTGGCTGGTTGGGAACATTAAAAACAGTAAGCATTCTTAGTTCAAAACCTGTTGAACTGTCCTTACCTGGGTAGTTTAACAAACAGGAAATAACATCTATAATAGTCCACTAATGAATGGCTCTGCAATATTGTGTACTGGTAGAATATAAACTGACTTTCTGGTTTCATTAGATATAATGTATACATTATATCACACATGATCGAGGCTACCATCCTCTCCTGTTCCTGCTCTGCTTGGGCTGCCACTCCATCCGCCTGGAACACATGGTGGGCTCGCCCTGTCTTTGAAATTTTCACTGAGGTCACCCAACTGCTCCTTCCAAAGCCAGTTCTCAATCATTCCCATGACAACCCTACCCATCCTGATTTCCCTCCCACTTCCACTGACATCAGCCCTCTGGTATAGAGATCCTTGCTCCCACTAAGATGATCCTTCCCACACTGATACTCTAACCTTTTCCATTCCCTGCTGCTGCCAGACTCCCAGCCTGCCTTTTGATACTGTTGTTGCAAAGCATGAGCCCTTTATTTGCCCATGGAATGTGGATTCTCTTTTATTTGTTATGAAGCAAACTTAAATGACTAAGCCTTTGATGTGCTGAAAGGTGTTTGATTTCGGCATGCAAGACTGAAGTAAAATTAATCTATTTCTTTTGATTGATACGATTTGATTTGACTTTGGTTTGAACAGATGATGGAAGAGCACCCATCTGAAAACCCGTCCTTAGGCCGCTCACAAAGTATGAATTGCTCTGCAGGGGACATAACATGAGCTCTTTCCTTTTAAAAATCTTTCAGACTAGCCAATGGCACTACTATTCCCAGTCCTTGCATAGGTCCCAGTCCTGATCTCGCTGAAGTCAATAGGAGCCTGACCTGCAAATTCCTGTTCTGTCTCTGAAATTCTGTGCAGCTTCTTGTGTGAAGGAGGCAGGCAGGACTTGGCCTTGAATGTCTGGAGTGGATAATGTTAATAATGCTGTAATGATTCTTCTTCAGCTAATGCCTTACTGACAGAAGTGAAACGTTCTTTTCTCTGTGCCTCCTGTAGCCACGTCCTTCATCTGCTTTGGTTGGAGCTTCATGTGTGTCAGTCACCTGCCAGTTTCAGGTGGAAAGTTTCTTAGCTCTTTCTCTCCTCTCACCTGTATGTGTTGATGCAGAAAGTGTTGAAAATAAACATTCATTTTCATTCTCTTTTCAGTATGTCATTTATCTTAACACTCTGTGAGTGCTTTCTTAAAGTCTTAGTTAACAGAGGGATGTATAAACATATTTGGATAAATCTACAGGAAGAGACATCCTGGTGATACAAACACATGCTCAGGCTGTTTTTTAACCTTCCCCAAACTCCCTCAGCTCAT